CATTACCCACTTGCAAAGTCTGATTCTTCTATTAAACCATGAGACCATGAAGATAAGTACCATTTTTATATATCATTTAAGTGGTTGGTATGCTGCCAATCAACTTTTGTTGATTTGAACTGGTATTTGCTTGAAAGAATGAAAAATTACCTTTCTAAAACAGTAAAAAAATTATAATAGAGAACAATTAATTTACTCACATAACAACTGAGTTCTAATTGTGACAAAGCAGCTAGCTGGAAGCTACAAAAGATATAAAGATATCTATGTGCCAATTCTTTCTTCTAAAAATTCAAAATCAAACACGGAGTTACTACCTTGACAAATATAAGATTCAAGTTATCTATCATTTGGGGACCAGCAGTTAACCTAATGGCTATGTCACTGGACTCCCATAGAGTCGACCACAGTTCGAGTCCCAGACCCGGTGGCTTAAACTCACACCGGGCCCAAGATCCCGAGAGGAGAAGAGATTACAGGGTGGCCATCCCCCCCCCCCCGGGGGGGGTATGATTTCTCACTTTCATTTAGACAGCTATTGCTCAGTGGCAATGAATTCCCCAGAATGCAGACAAAAATGTAATAAGCATAAACAAAAATGGGTTTCTCCAGAAATATCCAAAGCAGTTTCACAGAGCTCTTTCCCCAGTAAGGGTAAGATTCTTCACTATAATGACCATATAAGACAGTCCAACAACTGTTCAGTTTTGTCTTTTGTTTCCTAACAAGAATCCCAATTTGGAAAATAAAAATTCTATCTACCAACAACACTTTACCCACCACTACAAAGGTTCTTGGACCATCATTCATAAGTCAAGTGTATACACGCACACACACATACATATATACTTATATATGGATACAGAAAAGAGATAAGGGATTTACAGCAGGGTCAGCCTGTGGCATAATGCTTAAAGCAGTTAGACCCCACATGGCCAAGTGCACAATCTAGGCTGAAAAAACAGTAGAAACATGTGCATGCCTATCCAACATCCCAGAAAGAGGGAGATGAAAGAGAACAAACTGTGGTGTGACCATCCCCCATGTGGGGATCCTTTCTCACTTTCCTTTTCCTGTCTACCTCCAGCAAGCGCACATATCCTCTGTCAAAAAGATTACCAGTGAATTTAAACTGAATTTAAATCTATATCCATTCAACTAATAAAAAAGTATATGAATTATATGAGCATTGAACTATTTGTCATTTGTGACCACTCAACAAATTCAAATTCCATCTAGGATTAATATTAATAACAAATAACAGTATCACTTTTCAAGTCGGTCACAAGCTCAAAAAAAAGTCAAGTTTTTCCACCCAGATAATTCAAACAAATGGCACCTTTAAATAGAACTAACTAGGGCCTTCAGGTGGCAAGGAGGTCAAGGCAGCTGGATTTGCATGGCTGACTGGGCAGTTCAAGTCCTGGACCCAGTGGCTTGGAAAAACACACCAAGTGAGTGTGTGTGTGTGTATCCAAACATCCCAATAGAAGAACTGAGGAAAAGGAACTGTGGCAAGGCCATCCCTGTTGGGGAGTGTGGAGAACTGATTTCTCACTTTCCTTCTCTCTCTTTCTCTGGCAAGTGCACATGACCTATAGCAAACCTAAAAAAAAAAAAAAAAACAACAAAAAACAAACAAAAAAACTAATCAAAGAAAAAGATGAGCATGTAACAACAATATAAATACATACCAGTAAAAGTAAAAACAAATATCAAATTATACTTAACCATGTCCTATATTTTCCAATTATTAATAGCTGATGTTTAATAAAAAAGATTTTACCCTTTATTCAAAATACACAAAACAGCAATGTTCTATACAAAGCTTTCAGTGAAAGGAAAGACACTTTAAGCCTTCCAACTTTTGGAATACAACTAAAAAAATTCATTAATAAAACATAAATACCAGAAAAAGTAATTGAGAGGTCAGGTAAGACTTAGAAGATGTTCTGTAGTATTTAAGAGTCCTAAACTTTAGATGTACCTTAATGTCCTAATGTTTCCATTTTTAGCCATTATCATCCTGTTAAGCCCTTTCTTTGACAGAATTTATGTCTCAAATGGGCCAGTGTAAGTTGTAGGCAAAATCTTCACAAAAAGCACAGGTTGGGACCAGCAGTTGGCATAATGGCTATGTTGCTGGACTCCCACATAGCTGAACGCAGTTCAAGTCCCAGACCTGGTGGCTTAAACTCATGCCGGGGGCATGTGCGTACAAGCACAAGATCCCAAGAGGAGAATGGAGGAGAAGGGATTGTGGTGTGGCCATCCCCCCTGGAGGGCGATTTCTCACTTTCTGTCTCTCTCTTTCGGAGGAGTGCATGCACCCTATAGCAAAAATCTATTCAAAAAAAAAAAACAACACAGGTCACACTTGGAAAAAGTCTTCAGTCAAAACTGAAAACTCAACTAAATAAGGTTCAACACTTTAAACAATTAATTTCCTTAATGTGTATCACATTCCTTAAAAAACATTACTGCCCCCTGCCCCCCGATTTATTACTTTCTATCTGTTAGCTTTTTGTCTGTACAGTGGTAAGAGCTCGGGGTGTATAACAAAATAAATACATAAATAAATAACTATTAAAAAAATTTACTGTACAGCAACTTCTTTACCACCTTCATAATCTTCATATGTGAGCATTCAGTCTTTAAATTCTCCCCCAAAATGTGAACTTTGCATTTTATTTCAATAGAACTTGAGATGTAAATGTGAACAAATACTGTCATTTATCATATCAAGCATAGAAGTTTCATGGCCAGCAGCCATTTTGTAAATAACAAAAGCTCTCTAGCTAATTATCTGTGTGACCTTGGTGAAGTCATAACTCCCAAGCTTTTGTTACTTCACCATACTCTATAATTCTGAAATTCCATATTCTAAATGCTTTAATTAACAAGCATTTAAAAACAGGTTTCATTTCAGTTAACCCAAAACGTAATAATCCATCAACACAGAGTACATAAATAAGCACAAGTGGTTGGAGCCCAAAATTGGTAAGTTGGTTTTGATATCCCAAGATTGTTCTTCATTCATCCGATTCCACAAATTCAGTTTCCTTTGGCATAAGGCAACCAGGCAAGAGACAGGAAAAGTCTCAGCAATTTCTGTTATTAACACTGGACAACTGACAGCATGCCAGTTGTTTTGTGCTAGTATATGGCAAATACAATAAATAATTTTCTTCAAATACATCAATGGGAAAAAAAAAGGCAGAATACTGTCTTTTTATCTTCTAAGTCAAGGAGTCATTTTGACCGTCCAGAAAGTCGTCTTTTTTCTGCAATTCAAGTTGGTAGAATGTGAAACAAAATTTTACCAGTTGACAACTGTCTCCTAAAACAAAAAAAAAAGTATTTTTTTTCCCCTTCTTCTTGTCTCATGACAGCTATCCGGAGAGTTTTACTGACAATTACAATTCTACCAACTTCTTAACCAGCAAATTACAAAACCAGTATTTTCATTTTGGTCACAACTTATGTTGACCCATTTGAAACAAACTCTAAATCAAAGAGAGGGCTTAATAAAAATGCTCCACTTTAAGATATACTAGGTCAAAACAAACACATTCGAAATCTATTTTTAGAGTGGCACTCACTCTTCTGGTTTCCTCTGAAAATGAGATTTGCTTGACCTATTTTTATGTGTTTACAGAGCAGCCAGACACCACAAACAATACTTGCTAGTCAAAAAAGGGGCAAAAACAACATTGCAAATCCTATTATTTATGAGGTCATTTCCATGTGTCTTAATATGCCTAGTCATTTAGAAGTCTAAATATAGATTCGTTTACCAAATTGTCTTAAGTCTTTCAAATTTTGTAATTATATACTGTTCCCAATGCCAACGATGTATTTCACATCCCATTTAAAGAGTACACACAGGGCAGCTGGTGGGGGGGGGGGGGAATTGTGGCCCAGCACCTGAAATGTCAATCATACAAAGAACAAAGAGTTTTTCTATCACCTCTTGGCTTGCTGCTCCCTTCAGTTCCATAGTGTTTCAATATTACAAAATTATTACTTAAGAAAATACTCAAAACTTGAGAAGTGCTCACTAAAATAGTACTTAAAAGAAATGAAACCAAAAGGGTAACAAGAAAAAAAAATTACTTGCCAGACCGTATGTGTAAACTTACAGTCTTGTAGATTATACCTTTGGAAAGGACGTTTCAACTTTACATTCTCAAAAACAATTTTACCACCTTTTGCTAGAAGCCTTTATAAAATAAACTAGCAACAAAAATGGAAGACCAGTACTCTTTCAGATGGGATGGGGACTAGGGGAGAACTCTGCACTCAGCAACCAGAAGAACAAAGCAACAGCCAAGGCTTTTAAGATTCATAGAGACTGAGAACACTCAGAATTTACGGGTATTCTGAGAGATCTCTTAATTGTTCCGATGCTTTAATAACCGTCAGAACTAAGAGTCTGCAGCGCTGGGTTTCACAGGACCAGGTAGAGGGACTACTGTCTTCGTGTTAGGCAAGACCCGGCAGTGGGCAAGAGGAGGAGGAGAGGAAGCAGCAGCAGAAGCCAAAGGCACTGTGGCAAAAGGCAAAACGCACGGACCGTACGCCCTGGGTGCCATCTGACCCAAGGCCCAAAGTGTTTGACTCCACAGGGGAAACGGGGGGCAGGTTACCTCCGAAACCATCGCCGTCCCTAAACCTTGAGGCCAGAAGGTTCCCGGCAGAGGCCTGACACCCAGCCGAGCGGGGAAAGACAGGGACCCGGCGGCCACTAAAGGCAAGACGCCGACCCCGGCGGAAGAGGCTGCGCAGTAATGGCCGCTGCTCCGCCTCTCG